CCAGACCCTAACACCTTCATCTTGGAGGTGGGGATGCCGGCAACAGGATGGTACATCATGCCTCCTTCGTTGAACCCCACGCATCTCCATCATTCCCTGTCAGTTTGATGAGGAAGTGTGTCATCTCCATCAGCTTACTGTACATTCTACAAATGTCTCCTCCTTGGCCCAACTCCCTATCCCAGACAGTACCTGGTGGCAACACAAGCCAGAAAACACAGTCTCAAGACACCCACCTCTGGTATGGTAAAAATTCAGGAAGCATGAGAAGGTAGTCTGAGTTAGGGACACCGTCTGGATTGTTTTGCAAGATATGTCCACACCTAGCCCTTTACCTGTAGTCACTGAGCTAATTAGCCCCAAGACATCCCCCTTCCAATTTCCCCCTTCTTGAGACTGCATATCCCTTTCCACTACTCATGATACTCCTGGCCTGTCTTAACTGTCTGTCATCATTCACTAACCCCAACCATTCACATAGCCCCAAGCACAGAAGAAGGGGTCCATTGTATACAAGGTAAGAAGTAGCCATCTCCAGGAGACATAAAGATAGCTCCCAGCCCCTGTATATTGGCAAGGATACACTGGACCCTGGAGTCACCATGAAATGTTGCTCTACCAGAATCCATCAATAACATCACTAGGTGATGCAGAGAAGCCAGCTTTACTCTGCCTGACAATATATAGAGAGGATTCTAAGGTAAGGTGGAATGTCTGATATGCTTGGGGTTCTTTCATCTGGTAGACCTGCCCACTTAGATCACTCGACAATTTCCAGCTAGCAGAGGTGAGTCAGAAGTTTTCAAATCCTATACATGTAATTGTTCCTGGATGCCCCACCTTCTCTCCTTATGGTCACTTCTCCACATGATGCTGAACTCTAGGTTCAGACACCTGAATGCCAGCCTGTCCTAAGCTCTCTGGACTTGGTTTTGCTTGTGGTCTCTCTCATGGACTCTGGAAATTGCTGTCCGCCACCATTCTCTTCCTGCTCCTCACTAGCTGAGAGCGTCCTGTCTGGCACCTGATCATTCTAACCAAATCTTTACTTCTTAGTGAAAAAAGAAAATATCTCGTTGACATCAGAATTTTAAACCATGTTCAAAGAGGAATCCTGTGGCTCAGAGCATCACTGCAGATATCCAGCTTTATATGTGCAAGAGATTAAATTAATTTTCTGCTCAACATAATTAGAAAACAGGGAGATACAAATTAATATAAGTGAGACATTATTTTTTAATATATGTTTGACCAAAAGTTAAAGGATTAAAAAAACAAAAGGTAAGAGCATAGGGTATTTACATAAATTAATCTGTGAGAATATTAATTGGTAGATTTGTGGGGTGATATTTTGGCAATATTTATAAAAATTTACAATTTTTAAACCCTCTCCACTTTATCCCAATTTCTGTTTGCTATGTCTTTCCTATGCACATTTTCGCAAGAACTGATGTCCAAAGATGTTGATTTCAGTTCTATTAACCATAGAAACTAATGGGAACTAATTATGTGTCCATCAGGAGGATAATAGATAAATTAATTATGGAACATACATACTTTAGAATCCTGGAGAGTAGTGAAAATAATGAAGTCGATTTATACGTGTTGTCAGGGAATGATGTATTCATTTTATTAAGTGGCAACGGCAAGTGGGAGAACAATATGTACATCACTACCCATTATGTTAAAAAATCACAACATATTTTTATAACACATCTATGTATTTTTAAAAAGCCTAAAATTATATTTAAAATAATACACACCATACTTTTTTACTATAGTTACCTCTGAGGTTAAAGCTGAATTTCAGAGGAACGTTGTAAAGGGAGGGGAGAGATTTATGTATGTTAGAAATATCTGCAACAAGAATATATGCACTATTATTAGCTTTGACATTAAAACTTTTAAATAAGCTTAACAATATGAATAGTACCTGTTTATTAGACAAGTAAAATAACTGCTAGCTGATGCAAAACATGAAACCTAAAATCGGAATGGCTTAACATTACAAATGTTTATTTCTTGTGCACGTAAAATTTGATGTGATTTGGCAGGGGATCTTTGCTACTGGGTGACTCAGAGACCCAGGCTGCTTGCATCTTGTAGTTCCACATCTCACCATGCGCTTTCCCATGTTTGCTACTGAATGGAAGAAAGAAAATGGAGATAGCATCCTGGATTTCAAATGAGTTGGCCTGGAAATGACAAATATTGCTTCTGGCCAGAGTAGCCACATGATCCTTTTTAGTTACAAGTGGATTGGGAATGTAGGCTTCCTGTGAACCCAGGAAGGAGAGCAAGACAGGATGTGGATGAGCACTCACAGGCTCTCTCATTAACTGCTACATAGTAAGTGCTCAATAAAAAGCAACCATTACGTTTATTAGGGCAACAAACTTCTTTGTTTTCTGGGCGAGTTTTTGTGAAGGCCATGTTGGCCTTGCAATTCACCAACCTTGTTTTGGATCCTACTATGTGATGAGTGCTTTCAAGTACAGGATCACATCTCATTTTCAAAAGAACCCTGTAAATCTCCACAGGAAAGACTCAACCTTCTTCCCTCAATAGCACCTTTCTGCACTCCCCTTTGCAAAAACCTCTATAATCTCAGTAGGCCGAAAATTTTCTCTTTCCTTTTGGTGCATGGTCAATATCTTAACTTGGGAGTCCCTGCCACACACCACCTGACTGAACATGCCTGAACACCTGTACAGGTGACATTAGGCACACTGAAAACCAGGAGTTCTACTGGGAAAAGTACACAGACGAGGCAACAGAAGGATGGTGAATTATTAATTTTTTTAATCAAATATAGCATGTAGGCCAAAGAACCAATCCTTGGCATCTCCATTCCTTATACCACCTAGGACTCCAGAGGTACAGGAATTCAGACTCTGGATTTATAGATGTTTGCTACACAGTGATTTCCATGGTATTTCCTTCATCTACCCCTTAACAGGGAGGCTTTGGTTTTTGACTGCCTAGGTGTGCTCACTCATTGGTGTTTCTTTTCAGTGGCTAGTCTCAAATATGACACCCCATTAAAATCCTACTGCAAATATCATAGTGGTTTCCAAAGCTTCTCCTACTTCAGGTTTACATGCTAAAAGCCAGTATGTTCTATGCCAAAGTAGACTCTACTCACAAGCCCATTTGTAAAATGCTTTGAGAGTGTGGTGAAGAAGCCCGTCAGGGAATGACCGTGTACCTGAACTACACTGTTCAAAGAGAACTTCACCTAGAAGGGCTTGTTGCTATCAGAGAGATCCCATGGTGAGGGTCAGTCAGGAAATGCCTACCGGGAATTGGAATGCTCTAAGTCAGGGGGAAGGCCAGTGATTCTGGGCTGCACTGGGACCAGGGTGCAGTGCCCAGAGGAGGACGTGGTGAAGAGCTGATCAGTAGGTCAGTTTTCAGAGGTGGACAGGAGTGTACACTGGGGAAAACCCAGGGGAAGGGAGCTGTAATATGAGAAAGTGCGGGCACTGGACACATGTGCCAGCTACTGTGCAGAGGCAGCTCTCAGGGGCTAGGCAGCAACACCCTGGGTAAATGAATCCTACCAACAATTCCCAAATTGTGTTTGATTCTCATTTTCACCTTCCTTCTCTATACCTGCTTTTGGTACTTTAGCGACAAGGTCCTTCTTTTTTTTATCCTTTAAGAGGCATTATGGAGTAATAAGAAGAGAAATGAATTAACAGACAGAATGTTGACCTCAGGTTGGGAGGAGTAGAATAGCATGGGCTCTAGAAGAATTCAGACCAGAAGTCCAGTTCCAACTGTGTCACATACTAGGCCTGTGAACTTGGGCACATTCTCAAGCTCTCTAAGACTTACATTCTTCATCTGTGAAATGGGCTTGATAAGCTCTGTCTTGTTTGTAGGACTATTGGAATCTATGTGTTATATATATAAAGCCCCCAGCACAATGCATAGTGTGCATTGGGGCTTGAATGATTTGCAGTTATTCTATGATTATTTTGACCCCAGACACTAGCACCTTCCCCTCTGGGATTTGTTTATCCAGGAGATGTCAGGGAACATGCAGTGCTCTGGGACATGGAACACCAAATCAGCCAAAACTTCAGCTTAGCAATAAAACCTCAGTAAATCTTCCTTATTAGAAGATATATTATTTAATTTGGGTTTGGAGGAGCATTTCCCAACTGGATGCAACTCAGAGCTCCTAGAATTTGTGTCAAGGACTAACTCCTTTCTTCCCTCCCAGTTGTCCTTCCAACAATCTTTCTCTATTTTCATTCATTCATCCCCTCCAAAAATATAGGCCTTGGTTAGAGCTTACCAAATTATATTGAACATAACTTACTTAAAATGTCTTTTGAGTGCTGTGGGCTCTGGATCTCCCAGCCCAGGACAGAGTGCCAGCCCAGTGGTTTCCAGGTATCTCACCTCAAGAAAGTATCGTGCTTATTTCTCACAAACTCCTTGATATTTATAAAACACCTAATTCGTGCACTGTGTTCAACTGCACTTGGACAAGAACACAGGATATCTTCCATTCTTGTCCCAAGTGGGATCCTGTTTACCCATGAACCCAGTCACTGCTAAGAACAATTTTCCATTCCAGGCTTAAGTCTCTCAACTCTGAGGCACACCATCTGAGGGTCTGACCCCTGTCATCAGTCCCACAGCCTCATCTAGTGTACCATGCAGTTTAATTTACAATTACCTCCCACGGAAGGACTAGGAGTTTCCCAAGGCCTCAGCCTGCCATGTCTCTGGACATTTACACTTGAATACCCTCATATGGACCACCCCATCCCCGCCTCCTGACTCCTTTTTACGCTTTCTTTTGGTATTAAAGGATACCCACCATTGTCTTTACATAATTCCCGCTCTTAGACTCTACAATTCTATAGGTGGGTAGTGAGTCTTGTTTATCTCAGCATCCCAGTACTAACACAGTGCTTTTGAAAGAGCAGATGTTGAATTACTGTTTGGGGAATAAATGAGCCAGTGTACATGGGTCTAATTTATTAAGATTTATTTCTCATATATTCTTAAATAAGCTAAGCAAATGCGTGTATATGTCATGTAATTTTACAGAATGACAGGTCAAAAGGGATAAGGAAAGCTAAGAACTGATGATCTTTTAGGACTTTTTCTTGATCCCAGTTGTTTCACTGCTGAGTCCTTTGACAGCTCCAAGGAAATGCTTGTTCAAATGTCATGTTATCTTTTCCAGATCACGAAATAAGATGGTCAGTTTCACAATTTGTTTTACAAACAAGCAAAAGTTGTACTCTTAAATTTTCATAACTAGCAATAAATGTAAGATGAATGTAATTCATAAAGTTAGATTCTGAAGCTAATGAATTTTTATATTAAAAGGAACAACATTTGAAAACTAACTCCCCCCAAAAGATAAACTTCCATGTTAACCATAAAGAAGAGGGACACAAAGATGTTATACGCTGTGTTTGCTACAGCCGCATCCCAGCCCTCCACTAATTAGAAGATTGCCCTCTTCAATGACAAAGTGAAGAATCTGTCTCAGACTTCACTAGGGGAGGGAGAAGCTGCTGGACTAGCACTGGAACTTGCTCTGGCCGTGGCAGTAGTGCCAGCCCCGGCTGCAACTCTGGCTTGGGCTCTCTCTGCTTCATCTCTCAAAGCTTCCTCATACTGGGTTGGGAAGCAAGTGGGGTCAGACCCATGGATCTTGGTCAAAAACTCCAGCAATTTCATCTTGCTGGTTTCAGCATGGGCTCTTGGACCCCACAGGAATTCATAGCATGGAGGATCACTGTCAGGCACCTGTCGATACTCCAGGTACTTCTCCTGCACCAAATCTCTGGTAATGAACTCCCTGGGCTCCCCAAAAATGAAGTGCTTCCTCCCAGAGTATAAGTCCATCATATTCAGAATTTCCCAGATCTCCTCCTCAGTGGCGTGATTGCCCTTCATGAAGATCACGCCCAGCATAATTATCAGGAGGCTGGTCTTGGGCACGCCCTCATCACCACTGAGACTCGCATCATAGGTGAGGTCCAGTTTGTTGACGAGGGCATAGCTGTGGCTAGTGGGGTCAACTTCCTTCACATCAATGCCAAAGACCAGCTCTATGCGCTCAGAGGCTCTCCTGAAGATCTCATGGAAGTTATCCCTGTACTCTTTGATAACAACATCAATCATGTCTGCCTCTGTGATCAGCTCTTTCATTTGATACTTATGCAGCCAGAACTGCACCAACAAAGACACCTTCTCCTCTAGAGGGTCTGACAGCAAGTTTTCAGTGTCTGACAGGGACTCTGAAGAAGCTGAACTATCCTCCTCTTCTTGGTTGCTGGAGCTCTCATCTGACTCTGAAGAAGCTGAACTATCCTCTTCTCGGCTGCTGGGTGAGGTGGCTGTGATGCCAGTGGAAGATGTATAGGTACTCTGAGGACTCTGGGGAGTACTGTGTGTCCCAGCAACCACAGCCTCCTCTAGGTTGCCAGGCACTAGAGGATGGGAGGAGGAGGGAAAGATCTCCTCCATAACCTCAGAGGCCTGTGCAGCCTCCAGGCCCTGGATCTCACTCTCACGGTGTTGTTCCTGTGTGCAACACTTAATTTCCTGACCCTGAGACATGCTCACTCTCGTCAGTGGTAGCAGGCAGGAATGTGGGCAGGAGGGTGGATGATAGGGAACCACAACCTAGGGAGAAAGGGAGGATGTGAGTAGCCTTATCTGGTAAACTCAACTGTGGCGACTCTGAGGAAGAATGCCTCCACCCATCTTTTCTGGGTAGTGCTCCAGAGCCTCACAGATCTCCTGTCCTGACGTATAAGATGCTGAAGGAGGAAGTGAGAAGGCTTTTCAGAGTTCAGCCAGTCAACTCAGCCCGAGGATTCCCAGAGCTGATAACAGGGCAGGTGGGGTCAGGTTCTGTGGGATCCCTTCTGTTTTGAGGTGGGTGGTCCCCTCTGCCTTTGTTCAGAATCCTCTCTGTGACCCCAGGGAGTATCTGGGACTCCTCCCTCTACTGACCCAAGGATTATCACCTCATAAAGAGGCCTTCATCTCCTTGAGACACTCGAGTTAAAAAGAAGCAAGAGGGTGCCTCAGAGTGACAGCTCTTCTCAGAGCCTTTCAGCAAAGAAAGTCACAGGGGTGACAGATGCTGAAGGGAAGGAAGTGAGGGGGCCCTTCATGAGGCCATACCTGTCTGGGCCTCCCAGAAGTGACAGGAGAGCAGCTCTCGGGGCTCTGTTGCTCTGATGTGTGTGGTCCCCTCAATCCTGAGGGTCATGACTTTGACAGTGACAGAGACTGAGACACCTCTCTCTGTTAACTTTAGACAATAGCCCTCAGACTCTCATAGCCAGTCAGAAAGCACCAAAGTCTGACAACTACTCTAGGGCCTACTTAGTCTGACAACAGGGGAAGGCTCTTTGGGGTCCCCACTGTTCTGGAGTGTGTGATGCCCCAGTCCTTACTCAGCATCTTACTTGATTCCTGGCAGGACCTGTGATTTCGCTCTCTGCTTACTTGAGGCTGCAACTCTCAGACCAATGTCCTCACCATCCTTATACTACTCAGGCAAAAGTCAGGAGAAGTCACCCCTGGCTACCCCCTCCTCCTCCCAGGGCTGACAACAGCGTTCTGAGGGGCCTTCTCCATTCTGCAGGAGAGATCTCCTAAGTCCTCACTCAGCATCTTACCTTGACTCCTGGCAGGGTCTAGGACTCCTCCCTCTGTTCACCTGAGGCAGCACTCCTTAGACCAGCCTTCACCTTCCTGCAAACTCAAGATAGAAGTCATAGGCAACTCAGTTTGACAGCTATTCCAGGGCCTCCCAGAGCTGACAGCACGCCCTTATCTAGCGGTCCCCTCTCTTGTGAAGTGGGTGGTCCCAACAGTCCCCACTCAGGGTCTTATGCTGAGAGTTGACAGGGCTTGCCATTCCCCCCTCTGCTGAACTGAGGCCTGCTCCCTCATAACAAGGTACTCACCACCGTCAGATTCTCTAGGCACACTCAGTGGATGCTAATTCCAGCTACCCATGCCCACCCAGCACCTTCCAGGGGTGACAATGAGGGTGGGGCTCTGTAGAGTCCCTTCCAGTATGGAGTGGATGTTCCCCCAATCTTCACTCAGCATCTTACCTTGACTCTGGTAGATGCTGGGACTCCTCCTTCTTTACCTCAGACCAAGGCCTTTACCTCCCTCAGACTCCTGAGACAGAAGTCAGCGGAAGCGACTTCTGACCATGTCTCCCCTCCCCCTCCCGAAGGCTGACAGCAAAGCTCTTAGAGGCCCTCTCCACTCTGGAGGAGGGGTCCTCTGAGTCCTCACTCAGCATCTTACCTTGACTCCCGGCAGGGTCTAGGACTTCTCTCTGATGAAATTAGGCCTCTTCCCTCAGAATAATACATTCACCATCCTCAGACTCTTGAGGCAGAAGTCAGGGGAAGCCATTCCCTGCCAACCCTCCTCCTCCCAGAGCTCACCAGGGAGTTTTGAGCACCCCCTCCCATCTGGGGTGGGTGGTCCCCCCAGTCCTCACTCAGAATCTTACCTTGCCTCCGGGAAGGATCTGAGATTCCTCTCTGCTCATCTGAGGAAACACTCCTGAAAACAGGCCTCACCTTCCTGCTAACAGAAGATGGAAGTCAGTCTGACAGTTATTCTAGGGGCTCCTGGGGCCGGAGCAGGGGCTGGGCTCTTACTTATGGAATCCCCTCTGTTCTGTCGTGGTGGTTATCTCATTCCCCATTCAGCATCTTATCTTGAAACTCAACAGCACACGGGGCCTCCTCCCTCTACTGACTTGTGCCCACACCCCTCAGACCAAGGCCCCCACCACCCTCAGATTCCCGAGGCCCCGTCAGTGGACGCCTCAATCTAACAGTTATTCCGGGGGCTCCCTGGGATGACAAAAGGGGCGAGGCTTTACTCAGTGGGGCCCCCTCTATTCTGGGGTAGTTGGTTCCCTCATTCAATGTCCTCACCTTAACACTTGACCAGTCCTAGGACTCCTCCTTCCGTCGATCGAGGCACTACCTTTCAATACCGGACTTCACCCACAATACCCCGGAAGCGGAAGTGAAGGGACGTCCCTTCGGCTTCTACTCCCCGTCACACCCGCGACTCCTCTTGGCGTCCGGGTGCCCCCAAGGCCGAGAGCAGGAGTAAAGTTCTGTGGGGCTTCTTATATTTTGGAGTATTTAATCCCGTTCAGTGTCTTCACCCAGAGTCACTGCAGAACCAGGGATTCCTCTCTCCGCTGAACAGAACTTGTGCCTCGTACACCAAAGTCCTCACCACCGTCAGACTCTCGAGAGGCTGGAGTCAGAAGGAACCTCTGTCTGATAGTTATTCTGGGGTTTCCCACCTCTAACAGTGGTGGCAGAACTCTTGGAGCTCCCTCCGATCTGGAATCAGGGGTGCCCTCAGTTTCGACTCAGTGTCTTACCGGGGCCTTCCAAGACCCGGGACTCCTCCCTCTGCTAACCTGAGGTCTCACCTCCTCAACTCAAGGCTCTCACCATTTTTAGACTCCTGAGGCCAAAGTCAGGGGATGCCATTTCTAGTCACCTCTGCTAGGAGTCTCCCAGGGTTGACAGCAGGGGCGAGGCTCTGTGCGGTCCCTCTCTTCTGGAGTGAGTGGTTCCCTTAGTCCTCGCTAAGGTTCCGTACCTTGATTCCAGGCTTTTTGATTAATTATTTCCTAGGTGATGCCACCTCCCTGCCAATCTCTATGCATTTGCCCCACTGCAACTCTCATAGAGATTTGAGTCCAAGTTCCACGCTAGATGCTGTGTGGCGAAGCTACAACACAGTGCATACAAAAGCTCACCTTCCCCTGGGGCGTCTTCTCCAGCCAGTTGGGAATCTTCTGTTCTAAAAGACTTACTTTCTACAGGGAAGACCCTTGTGTAGACACATTGTTAAGGCATCTTGCCACCTCATTGGAAACATTGTATCACTTCATGTAATCATGAAGTGAAGGAGTTCTAAGAGTCACTATGGACCCATTAGGTTAATGTGTGCCTCCTGACTTCTGACTACTGGATAAAGAAATAGTAAAGCAGGACAGAATCTTAGAAATTGTCATTTTACTGATGAGGAGCCTGGAGCATAGGGAGGTGTTGAAGTGGTTTGCAAGTGATTTGTTACTGACCAGAGTTTAAATACTAAAGTGCTGCTCTATGACTATGTTCTCACTGTAAACGTTTCAAACAGTACAATCAAAACAAAATCCTCTCTTGCAGTTTCAATGCTGTCCATCACCTGCACCACCATATAATCTTATTATGAGTTAATTTTGTATGGATATAATTGTGCATTTGATTTACATAAATCAAATTTATGTAAATTACATGAATGTAATAATAAAGTACATATTATTTTGCTATTTGCTTTTTCCTCCAATTAATAATCCATCTTGAAGAGTGTTCCATATCAATCTTCAGAGTGGCCCTAAAGTTTGAAAAACAGATAATAGTATTTTATTATTATTTGCAAATTGAAATGTCTTCGATGATGTTCTATATATTGTCTATATTTCTAGACTTTATAAGATCTATATATAATCTATATGTAGATCTGCCATTTTTTCTTTTATTTAAAAAGTAAAATAGATGACTACCTCTATAATTAAAACTCTCATGCATATTGGTCTTCAAATAATTTCATGAATGGAAACAGTTTTGAGATATATAATTAGTGTGCTAGGTATTGCTCGTGAGAATTAGTAAGCCATTCTTTCCACGGGTCATGAGAAAGGTGAGAAACATTAATTAAAAGGTCGAGTACTGCTATACTATCCTTTTCTGTCTTTTATAGACTTACCTCTCCATTTCCCTTTCTTGATCTGCAGCATCAGCCCACAAAGCTTTATCGTTCCCAGTGATGAAATACTCAGTAGTGTATTGTGAAGCATATGCAAAACATGATAACCTAACCCTGGTGTCCAATGGCCCAAAAGCTCCAATACAAGGTCCAGTGAGGGATTTTCCATTTGTTCTTTGAGAGTTTATGATTTTATTGCTATGCTGTTTTTGGGTAAAAGGGTTTCATCACCTGATCAATCTTGCTATGGAATCATTTTAAAGCCCTTTAGATTTATTTTGTTTATTTACATTCCTTTCCTGAGACTGGAATATGAGAGTAAGACAGAATCAATCTTTTATGCCTTCATTTCATTTCTTTTATCTACTCTCATGTACTATATTATTAGCATAAAACAGATTTAATTCTTCTAATTCTTACTTGTTTGGAGGTTTGAAGAAAGAGATTATTTATGGACTATGTGGAATTAATGCCAGCTAGAATTTTAATGCTTCCTTCTTCATTTTTTTGCAGTATTTGAGTCTATGCTATGTCTCATTTTAAAGCAAAGGTACTTTAAAATGGGTAAAATTCTGAATTATACTGTTTAATATGATGTACTTCAGTAGCATATTAAATACTTAAAATTGACAGTAAATCAAAAGGCAGAAATAGAAGTATTTTTTTCTTTAAATGTAGCAAGTGAATTTCTAATCACGGTTGTTTTCATTTCTTTTGTTTCTCAATTATTTTATTGAGGTCCTATTGGTTTATAACATTGTGTAATTTCAGGTGTCCGTTATTAATTATCAGTTTCTGCATAGACTGCATTGTGCACACCACCAGTAGTCTAATTTTTATCCATCACCATAGATATGTGCCCCTTTACCTTTTCATCCACCCACAACCCCCTTCCCCTCTGGTAACCACTAACCTGTTCTCTTTGTCCATGTGTTTGTTTATCTTCCACATATAATAAAATCACTCAGTGTTTGTCATTCTCTGTCTGGCTTATTTCGCTTAACATCATGCCCTCAAGGTCCATCCATGTCGTTGCAAATGGGACAACTTTGTCTTTTATTATGGCTGAGTAGTATCCCATCATGTATATATATATGTGTATATATATATATGCCACATCTTCTTCATCCATTCATCCGTTGAGGGGCACTTGGGTTGCTTCCATATCTTGGCTACTGTGAATAATGCTGCAATGCACACAGGGGTGCATAAATGTCTTTGGACTGTTAATTTCAAGTCCTTTGGATAAATACACAGTAGTGGAATAGCTGGATCATATGGTGTTTCTATTTTTAATTGTTTGAGAAATCTTCATACTATTTTCCATAGTGGCTGCACCAGTTTGCATTCCCACCAGCAGTGTAAGAGGGTTCCCTTTTCTCCACATCCTCTCCAACACTTGTTGTTTTTTGTCTTGGTAATTATAGCCATTCCGATGTAAGGTGTAAGGGGATATCTCATTGTAGTTTTGATATGCATTTCTCTAATAATTAGTGATGTTGAACATCTTTTCATGTGTCTGTTAGCCATCTTTACATCTTCTTTGGAAAAATGTCTGTTCATGTCCTCTGCCAGTTTTTTGATCAGGTTGTTTGTTTCTTTGTTGTTGAGTTGTATGAGTTCTTTGTATATTTTGGAAATTGACTGCTTGTCAGATATATGATATGCAAATATTTTCTCCCAGTTAATGGACACTCTTTTTGTTTTGTTCCTGGTTTCCTTTGCTTGCAGAAGCTTTTTAGCCTGATGTAGTCCCATTAGTTTATTTTTTTTGTTTGTTTCCCTTGCCTGAGTAGACATGATATTTTAAAAGATGCTGCTAAGACTGATGTCAAAGAGTGTACTGTCTGTATTTTCTTCTAGGAGTTTTATGGTTTTAGGTCTTACCTTCAAGTATTTAATCCATTTTGAGTTAATTTTTGTGTATGATGTAAGAGAATGGTCTACTTTCATTCCTTTGCATGTGGCTGTCCACTTTTCCCAACACCATTTATTGAAGAGACTTTCCTTTCTCCATTATATGTTCTCGGCTCCTTTGTCAAAGATTAACTGTCCATAGATGTGTGGTTTTATTTATGGGCTCTCAATTCTGTTCTATTGATCTGTGTGTCTTTTTTTGTGCCAGTACCATGCTGTTTTGATTACTATAGCTTTGTAGTATATTTTCAAGTCAGAGATTGTGATACCTCCAGTTTTGTTCTTTTTTATCAGGATTGCTCTGGCTATTTGGGGTCTTTTGTTGTTCAATGTAAATGTTAGGATTCTTTGGTCTATTTCCGTAAAGAATATCATTGGGATTCCGCTTGGGATTGCATTGAATCTGTGGATTGCTTTGGTTAATATGGACATTTTTTTTTTTTTAAAGATTTTATTTTTTCCTTTTTCTCCCCAAAGCCCCCCGGTACATAGTTGTATATTCTTCATTGTGGGTCCTTCTAGTTGTGGCATGTGGGACGCCGCCTCAGCGTGGTCTGATGAGCAGTGCCATGTCCGCGCCCAGGATTCGAACCAACGAAACACTGGGACTCCTGCAGCGGAGCGCGCGAACTTAACCACTCGGCCACGGGGCCAGCCCCAATATGGACATTTTAATTATGTTTAGTCTTCCAATACATGAGCATGGAATACCTTTCCATTTCTTTATATGTTCTTTGGTTAAATTTATTCCTAGATATTTTATTCTTTTTGTTGCACTTGTAAATGGGATTGTATTCTTAAGTTCTCTTTCTGCTAGTTTGTTAGTGGTGCATAAAAATACAACTGATTTTTTTAAAATTGATTTTGTACCCAGCAACTTTGCTGTGGTTGTTGATTATTTCTAATAGTGTTCTGATGGATTCTTTAGAGTTTTCTATATATAGAAGCGTGTCACCCACAAACAGCAAGAGTTTCACTTCTTCCTTTCCAATTTAGATACCCTTTATTTTTTTTTCTTGCCTAATTGCTCTGGCCAAAATCTCCAGTAATATGTTGAATAGGAGTGGCAAGAGTGGGCACCCTTGTCTTGTTCCTATTCTCAGAGGCATGGCTTTCAGGTTTTCACCTGAAAGCTTTCACCATTACATATGATGTTGGCTGTGGGTTTGTTATATATGGCCTTTATTATGTTGGGGTACTTTCCTTCTATACCCATTTTATTGAGAGATTTTATCATAAATGGATGTTGGATCTTGTAAACTGCTTTCTCTGCATCTATTGCATGATCATGTGATTTTTATTCCTCATTTTGTTAATGCGGTGTAT